GGCGGGGTGGCCTGCTGACCAGCAGCCGCCGTGCAGAGCCTGTGGCCAGCCCCAGGGCAGCGAGGCCACCCGAGGGGAGGCCTGAGTGCCTCACAGCTCTCTAAAGCAGCACCCCAACACGGCCCCCTGGCCAACAGCCAGGGTGAGCCCTTAATCAGAGCCACCACTGGGACCCACAGCCAGGGAGACACGTCCACCAGATGGGGCGACCAGCCCAAGAGCCCTGGTGCCCGCCCTGTGCATGTCAGGACTCGTCCCTCCCCTGCCCCCTCCAGGCGGCAGGTGTGTGCTCTGTTGGGGAGGGCTCCGAGCGATGAGAGGAGGGAGGAGAAGCCTGGCAGGCGACCCAAGGGTGCCCCCAGGGGAGCACTGCAGCCCGGAGGGCATGACTGGCAGTGACTGCTTGTGTGGGCACTGGCCAGAGCCCACACCTCCGAGACCCCCTCGAGGCCAGCACAGACCACAGGGTCTGGAGACATGTGAAGTCCAGGCACAAAGGCACTTTGTCCAGGTGACCATCTGTGCCCATCCCTCAGGCCCCAGCTGGCCCACAAGCCCACTCTGCAGACCCCAGCTTCTGGAACATTCTCTCCTTCCACAGCTCCTCTTGCATCCCAGAGCCACTGCAGAGGAGACAGGCAGCCAGCCCACCCCCAGGCAGGCTCCAGGGCACAGAAAATCAAGCGTAAACAGAGTCCATCTCCACACCTGGCAGCTCTCTAACGGACGGGAGGCGGGGGCAGCCACTCCCCGGGGAGTCACTCGTGGCCTTCTGGGGTGGGCAAAGGACACGGGCTAGACTCAGTCCAGCCTCCTCCCGAGGGCTAGGAGCCACAGCTGCCTGTGCAGCTGGGAACCACACCCAGGCCTGAGCTGGCAGGCCGCGGATCAGCAAGGATGTGCAGAGCCCCGTGTGCCACAAACACAGGACGGGCGTTCAACGACATCCACGCCCCCTGCAGGCAAGGAGGGGTGGTCAGGAGAGAGAGGACCCCGCCATGGCCCACTGACATCCTCCTCCACCACACGAACACAACAGCACGCCAAGCCAGCCCGGGAGACCGTCCACGGGACCCGCCACCCTCGCCCACACTGCCGGGCCGCAGCCAAAGTGCAGCCACAGGGAAGGGCCTCCCCGGCCCTGCTCGCTGCTCTGCGGTCCGGACCTGAGAGGACCCCTCGTCCAGAGGGCCCTGTGGACATCCAGGCAGATGTGGCTTGATGTTCACTGCCCTCTCACTCCCCACCTGGCCCCTCAGCTCCAGGTCCCACCACGGCAACAGAGTTGGGGGTCTGAGGGCTCCCCCACCTCAAAGCCATGGCAGAACAGACACAGAAGAGGTTTGGAGCACCCCCCTCGGCGGCCGGCTGCCCATGCGTTCCTTTCCGGGGTACCCAGGAGTCTGGCAGAGAGCTGGCAGCTCCCCTCCCTGCCTGCCACCTGGCCATGGTGGAGTCGATGGAGGAGACAAGCAGTGAGCAGGGGCCAAGGGGCCCTCGACTCTGGCTCACAGGGGGAGCCAGTCTCCACAGGGAACCGCAGCCACATCTGGGCCAACGGTGCCCAGGAGGGTGAGGAGGGCTGAGGGCACAGGGCAGGGCAGGGGAGCTCACGCATTCAATCCTGGGCAGCCTGACCTCAGCCTCTGGCCTGGGGGTCAGCGGGCCAGGGCACCCTGGACGGGGCAGGGTAAGCAGAACGGTGAGGCCCCACCGAGCACCACCCCATCCTGTCGGCAACCTCGCCTTCGAGAGCATCTCGTCCAGACGTGTGGGAGCCACGAGACCACCTGGAGAGCTGGGGGGCGCCCTCCAAGCCCCGCTCCCTGGAGAAGGGTCTGGAGCATGCAGGGATGCAGAGGCTCAAGCATGCACTGGCCACTGCGGGCTGGGGCCAGCTCTGCCTGGCCACATGCGTGCAGATGGGGGGTCCCCAGGGTACAGCAGTGCGGCCACACCAGCCAGGAGGGGCAGGCAGGGAGGGAGGAGCCCAGGAGGGTGGGCCCTGGAGCATGCAAAGACAGACACCGTCACACGGCAGCAGCCGACAGGCAGGAGAGGGCGCTCGGGGGCAGCTGCTCCGCTTTGCGTCTCGAGTCCGCCCTAGCCAGGCCTGTAGGTTGGAGCTGCTGGTGTCTGCCGCATCAGGACCCTGAGGGCCACACAGTGGCAGAGCTGCCTCCTCCCGTGGCCCTGAGGTGCTGACAGCTGGGAGAGGCTCCCTGAAGAGCAGTCAGGGACCGCGGCAGGCAGGCGGCAGGCGGAGTGGTCACAGTGGCACCAGTGGCTGCAGGTGGTGCCTCGCTGGGCCAGAGCCCCTGGGCAGCCCCTCTGCTCTGGCTGGGCCTTTCTGATCCCAGGAGGAAGGGCCACCCCGGCAGCTCTGGCCACGTTCCTAGGGGTGTCAGCTGGAATCAGACGGCTCGGCTGCCAGGGGCTGGGGCTGAGCTGCCCATCAGAATTGAGTGGGGGCGCCAGCCTCCCCTTGGCTCATCCAGAACCTCCCCTGAGCGGGCCGGGCCGTGCAGCGAGGTGTGTGCGTGCGACGCGTTCCGTGGTACCTAGAGTGTCTCAGACAGCATCCACACAGAGGCCCTCTGCACAGGCTGCCTCTACTGGAAACGAGGAGGGCACAGTTAGTCCGGGCGCTGCAGTGGGGTGCGGCCAGAGGGCGGGTAAACCGAGGCACTGCGGCCGCCCGGGGGCAGTCGGGGCTCAGCCCAGCAGCGGCAGTGCGCATGAGCGAGGACAGTGAGAGGGGCGCAGAGACGAGTCCTCCTCAGCCTGGAAAAGAAAACGTCCCTCTATTTTTGGAGAGAAAAAAATCCCAGTTTTTTCCTTCCAAAAATACCTTTTCCTTCCAAAGCCAGAGTTGGGACTCACGTCTTAAAAGATGTGTTATTTTCTGCCATGTTCATGCCAACAAAAAATAACACGAGGGCGAAGGCTTTGCGGAAGGCACGTCGTGCCAGCCAGCGCCACAGCGACAGGCGCGAAGCGTGCGCCTCGGGAAGGGCACCGTGCCCGCCGGCCGGCTCCCCTCACCAGACCCCCCAGTCAGCGTATGGGGGGCGGCTGCTTCTTGGTGGGAGGAAGCCGAGGAGAGGGGAGCGAGCCCCTGGGTGGAGGACTTTGCCGGACCGGGGCCTCAGGTCTGGCACGCCCACGGGGCAGAGGCCCTCACAGCGGCGCAGTGACCACTCTCCCAAGCACGTCCAGCACCTCGCGCTCCAGCTCAGCGTTAGAACGAGGGGTTGAAAGCCAAGAACAGAAACAGCGGGCCCCAAGGACAGAAACCCTGTGTTTTCCTCGGGCCCTTCCCCTAGCAGCGGCTTCCTGAGCTGGGCTTTCAAACTGTGCGCCGAGGAGCCCTGCCGTGTGCCAGCCCAGCCCGCAGACGCTGCGGCCTTCCTTCCACGTCTAAATAAAGCCACGCCCGCTGCCT